TAGGTGTGCCTGCTTGAGCAGGAAGGTTGGACTAGATGATCTCTAGAGGTCCCTTCCAACCTTAAATATTCTGTAAATTCTGTGAATTCTGTGAATTCTGTGAACTACGTGACAATAATAATAAGGAATGGAACAACACTGCAGAAATTCTCAGCTCCAGTGGGAACAAGAAGAGAAAAACAGGAAAAATGCAAGAAAATGACGAGGCCTGATAGAATGAAAGATGACTAGGCTTATCATTTGTTCAAACTCTTCTCACTGGTGAAGAACAAGGAGGAAATTATCTCTACTCCTACTATGAAACTTCTACTATGAAAAATCCACACCCTATACTCCTCCTTCAGACTCTCCTCCACTCTCTTCCCTTCATGTTTGCCCTAGACTAGCCCTTGCCCTGCTCACTCCTCATCTTCCCCAGCATGCTCAATGTGCCCTGGTTCAGTCTGGAGAGCACATACTRAAAGGCCATGTGCAGGACTGAATGCTTGCAGCTTCAGAAATGTGTCTATATCCCCAAAAGAGGYTGCACACACCAACGCAGACAGGGCAGAAATATGAATTCAGCCACAGTATTTTAATTATTCCTTATCTTCTATTATATCCTCATATCTTCATATACACATACACTCAACGCAATATTCTCAGCCTTCAACAGCTTAAGTACTGATGGCACTTAATTAGCCTTTCCTGCTCTTTCCTTCCCTGTTTGCTACCCCCTATTAGGCCCCTTCTACACTTAAAAGCTTCCTTAGAGAAACATCACTGAAATGATCAGGTCACAGAATGATTAAGGTTGGAGATCATCCAGTCGAATGCCCTTGCACAACRGAGTCATCTAGAGCACACTGCACAGRATGACTTACAGCTTATGCTGTAAGAAAAGAAGCTTGGGGCCCTAATCACATGGCTTCTTCCCAGGACTACTGTTCTCTTGTCCTGCTCCTCAAGGACACATCGAGAAATTTGATGCCATATGTGCTTTCAAGCCCTTCTTTGCAGAATCCTGGTTAGATAGGTCTTTAGGTATAATACCTTGAGCTTCTAGCACTGAGTCTGTCTAGAGACTTCCATTCAGCAGCCTCAGCCATTTTTTTATACTGCAATAGCTTTAGACATCTCCCTCTTTAGTTTTCTAGTTCATACCCCAAGGGGTTCTCCTTTGGTAGTTTCCTACAGGACTTGCCCTCAAATAAAAATACTCCTGAACTCCAATTTCATTGTGTATAGAATGTGTAGACTGTATAAGAGGAGGAAAAATTCATTACCTGTTTATGATTCGTAGAGGCCTTGAGACTGTTGGGAAGCTGAGAACTAAGCCATTATCTGGTTGTAGGGCGTTTGAAGGTGGCTACACAGCTGCGAAAACAGGGGCCTTATGTGAGGAGCAATTGAGGCATTTGGAGGTGGCTGTGCCAGCAGGCACACCGCCAACCCAAACACAGCCGACCTGTAAGCTAGTTTGGAGGTCAAACCTGAGGTGAGGCAGAGGAAGATGATGAAGGCAGGACCCTCATAATGAGACCAGAGACACCCACTGGTGGGTGCACATGCACCCAACAGGGAAAGTTGTCCAACGAAAAAGGTGGAGCTTTGCCCGCCCTCTGGTCACCTCCTGACATGTACTGGTCCTAGGTGGTGGGACGCACCAGGTATAAAAAAGATCATGGGTCAGAGGCAGGGAGGAGACTCCAACCGAGACCTACGTTGTTTCCACGGGGAMGCCCGCAASCTTGGAGCCTGTCAGCCACCTCTCRTCCATCAGGGGTGGGGAACAATCGGTCTCGCTGTCCTGCTRGCAAGTATCCTCTCTTAAATAATTGCTCTGTAGGTGCCTCGGTTTTGCAGGGAGTTGCTAAGTAGTCATCCTGCTTTAGCGCCTTGTTAGTGTGMACTGTCCCAAATCAACCAAGTGTTTGGTTTTGCTCTCAGTGCGTTTACTTTCAGTTGCCGAACCCTGAACCCATCCGGAAGAGTAGACACAACCATGTGCCTCTTGAAGGTATTGCCCACTTAATTCCAAGTCTAGTACCATCACCAGAGCCACCTGCACCTCCTTATATGCAGTTACTATCAAATGTTACTGATGAGGCCTAATCATGACCTCATATAGCATGCCCCCTCTCCCTTACTGATATATCATCCTCTAGCAAAGTCTACAGCTAGGAGGGATCGAGCTGCTGACAAAGAGAGGAATGAGCTTGCATATCTTAACTGGTTTTAAACATTCTCTTCTGCTTATTAGTTATGTTTGATTGATTATTTTCAATTGCTTTTGACTCACTGGCCACCCTTCACATCCAAATCAGCATTGTGCAGGCTTATGTCCCTTTTGAACACTGCACTGTTTCTCCTTTTATCTCTAAAGGCTGCTGCTTACACTACAGAGCTACTTGTGGGATATTTTATTTTTACCAGCACAAACACCTGTACCAAATTAAAACAGATGAAGTATGCAACTCTGTCTTAACTGTCTCTCCTGATGCCTTTTCTTTATCCGACCTTTATGAAAGCTATGAAAACATGTTGCTGCTCTTGGACCTAGAAGTGGATGTCTCGTCAGTCCTCTTTGGTTCCTGTCAGTGGCTGGTCAGGATGTTGCTGAGGTTCAAGGAGACAGGCTCTGTATTGAGATGTGTCCCAAAGGAGAAGCAGTTCCCACCTCCGCCAATGAGCAACAATTCTTTCTCATCTGACAGAAAGATGCTACTGTGATTATGCAGCATTAGCGGCCACTCCAGATGTTCCTGAAAAAGGACAGAGAAAATTGAGCCCTAAATTAAGACACAAAATTATGTGTGGTCCAGGCAACACCAGCCAGTCACATACTGGAGAGGTGCACAGAGAGGAAGACGGGGAACTGGATGTAATGGAATAGGATGCTTGGACAAGGTCCAGAAAGTAGGTAAGTGGCTAGTCTGAATATTTCAGAAGTCCAGCATTTTATGGGCAGGAGGGAATTTATTAGAGAGCAAAGGGAACTGGCATAAATTTACCAGTCAGGCACCTGTTAAACCTGTTTCAGTTGCTCATCCTAGTCAAGCTGGATCCCACTTAGGYGATAATCCTTGAACATACAGGTTTTCAATAATTTGCATACTGCTGGACTTGGCAGAACTGCATGCTAATCTCATACACTACTGTAGAGATATTCCATATGATACTGTCATTAAAGAGTTAGTAGGAACTACACATGATCCATCGAAGGCCCAGTATCCTATCCACAAATGTGGACAAAAATACTTATCTAGAGAAATATGCAAGAACAAGAAAACCATGAAATATTCCTCTAGTATTCTCAGCAATATAATAATTTACAGTTTAGAGATTTTAATCCAGAGAGAAAGTGTTTGTATTCCCTAAGTCTTAACATTCTTCTTTCCTCCCAAGAACACGCCCAGTAAACCTCCATGTAAACCTCTGGCATTCACATCCTGTCGTAAGGAATTCCATAACTCATACAAAGAAGCACTTTTTGAAACATGTTACCTGTCAGCTTCTTTTGAGAACTCTTAGTTCTTTTATCAGAGGAACCAATGGACAGTCAGTCCCTATTCACTTTTCTGTGACACTCACAATTTCATAGATTTCTATCGTGCTTCTTTTCCAATTATGTTATGCCTGATGGTACAATGAAATTGTTCGTATATCCTAATGTTTCCCAAGAGGCCACTTATATTTATTTAACAGTCTAATATTTAGTTGTGCTAATTACTCAGTTACTTGAAACAATACATCTTCTGCCCAGAAAATTTGCTCTCTTTGTTTTGTGTGTCTATAAATCAGCTTTAGCAATGCTGAGTCTTGCATTTATAACAAACAAGCCTGATATGAGAAGAACAAAAATACCTCAATGTGTGGGTATGATCAATTCCTACAATCTGTTCTTTTCCATGGTGAAGGAAAAGATTCTGCTGCAAGCTCTAGATCTTCTGTCTGGCCTACTTAACTAATTAGTGGGCCTGTAGGCCTGCTAATGGCCTACTCATGGCAGGAAGATTTTGGATACTATTCAAAGATTACAAAAAGTTAACAAGATCATTTTTTTCCCATGTCAACTCCCAGGAATCTCAAAGGTTATATTCTCATATCAAGAAAACTGAAATCGTCTCAGTGTGAGTACTCCCCGCTGATTTAAGTATGCTAGGATCAGGAATTCCATGTACAAGTCTAGCTCTTGCTTTTGTGTAATAAGCATCCACCTGTACCACAGTACTGGCAGGTTCTGAAGCCAGGAGATTTTTTCCCCAAGTCAAAACAGATAATTCACGAGCAAAGGCAGCTACCAATCCATCTGCCTACACTTACTCAATTCAAATAAAGTTAGTTTTATTCCTTTTTATAGATGTACATTACCATAATATCCATCCATGAGGATGGGTATCCAACAAGAATGGCCTACTGTATCTAAATATTACTCCCTTCTAATTTCTGCTATAGACAGCAAGATGAAACTAAACTTTTAAGTATGCTTCATGCTCTCAGGGGAATTACTAAACTTTTAAGTATGCTTCATGCTCTCAGGGGAATTGCTCTCAGCAAGGTCAGTCTGAGGCATACAGTGTCCATTATTAAAAAAAAAAAAAAAAAGAAAAGTGCAACTTTCACCAAGAATAGGATCCAGGTGTACAGATAACCCAAGATAACCCAATTAGAAATTGCATGCAAAAGATAAAAGCTTCTCAAGCAATAGAAGCTTTGTCTGGGCAGACTATATCTTAGATAAGGGATATTCACAAAAGAGGCATATTCAGATTTAGAATAAATTTTAGTTTAAGTTTGTCCCATCCATGCCAAAATCTCGGTATCCCCTGCATGATTATTCTTATTACAGCCCTAGAAGAGAATCACCGAACAGCTGGGGTTGGAAGGATTGCTGGATAACTCCTAGCCCAACCTCCCTCTGCAAAGCATGGGTCAGCTAGAACAGGTTGCTCAGGACCTTGTCAAGGCAGGTTTTGACTCCCTCCGAAGATGGAGACTCCACAACCTCTCTGCGCAACTTGTTTCAGTGTTCCATTACCCTTACTTTTTTTTTTTTTTTTTTAAATGAAATTTCCTTTATTTCCTTGCTCTGTTTTTACAGACTCCACCATAAGGTATTCTGTAAATTATATCACAGAACTCATGCTCTAATTTGATCAATTCTCCTCATCCACAGACATCCTGAAATTACAATGCTTGCAATCACCTCCCTTCTCCTCCCTTTGTCTAAAATAGAACGTCTCTCTGCCTTCCCTCTGTTAATACTAAGTTCTCAGGGCAGGTCAAAGCACTTCAAAATTAGACTTTACCTCAAAACAGAAGTCACAAATGTCCTCTTTGCATTCCCCATYCCCTTTCAGGAAATAGTCAAGAAAATGCCACCTTCCTTCCCACAACACCATTTACCCAAAAAGAACATTATTTCTATGCTTACCACACTAATCATATAGTCTGTGCAAAGACCAGTCATTAAGTCAATGACAGTGATGCCTGGCACAGAGGAAGAATGAAACCACACTCCACCAACAAGCAGGAGTTTTTCCTCATGCACATGTGCTGTATGTGAATACCTGCAAGTTCAAAACGAGATTGAGCTCTGTTAGTAAGGAGAGCTAGTTAGAGGCAGGCCAAGAGTTCCCTTGTTGAATGCTTTCCACTTACCTTGGGATGAGGGGAGGGTGTGTCTCTACTGTCTGCCACTGAAAACCATGTTCAATCTCTCTCAGAAAGAAAACTGAGCCTAAAGGCTGCTCAGCTGCTCCCAGACCTCCGGCAATAAGCACTCCTCCTCTCCACGTACATGCACTGTGAGAGTGACGGCCTTCCGGTACTGGACCCTCAACAGGAATCTAAAAATAGAAGTCCAAGGCTTAATTTGCAAGGTAAAAGATCATCTTCCTTTCTGGGATCTTAAATAACCTCTCCGCATTTCATCTCCTGTGGCATATAACATTTTTCCCTGCCGCAGGAGATGAAATTGGTAAGGGGAATATAATGAATAGGCCTTATGGAAAGATAGGTGTTTCCATCTATGCGATATTCAGTAGTTTGCTGCTTCTCAGTAGGTACAGTATCTGTCAGAGAGCCTTACTTTTGCATGTTTATGACAAGTACCTTTACTTTCATTCTTGCACGCTGCTCTTTGTTCAAGACATTCAACTGGAAATCACATGTTCAAAGTCATGGACCAATGTAACGAGTAGCAAAGCATATTAATGATTCAAATCCAAGCAAGACAAAATGCTGAACTGTAGGACTAACAGACAGAATAAAAACCTTCAATGCAAACTTGGAGAAGGGAGGGGAAAAGAAAAAAAGGAAAAAAAAAAAGAGTTGGGGTTCAAAGGAAAATCATAGCAAATAATCTATGGAGAAAATTTTGGAGGCCACCTGGTCAGTGCCTTTCTCCTAAGGCAAATTCAACTCTATTACCATCTACAGAAATCATAGAATCCCAGAATGGTTAAGGTTGGAAGGGACCTCCAAGGATCATGTACTCCAGTGCCCCTGCTCCAGCAGGGACACCCAGAGCATGTGGCACAGGGTGGCATTCAGGTGGGTTTTGAAGACCTCCAGAGAAGGAGACTCCACAACCTCCCTGGGCAGCCTGTTCCAGGGCTCTGGCACCCTCACAGGAAAGAAGTTCCTCCCTGTGTTTCAACTTCACCCATTGCCCCTTGTCCTGTCACTGGCCACCACTGAGAAGAGCTTGGCCCCTTCCTCCCTACATTCCCCGTTCATGGACTACTGCATATTAATCAGATCCCGTCTCAGCCTTCTCTTCTCCAGAGAAAACAGGCCTCCTTGTACAAGAGATGATCCTTTCCCTTAATCATCTTAGTTGCTCTTCTCTGGACCCTCTCTAGAAGCTCCACATCCCTCTTATACTGGGGAGTCCAGAACTTCAGAATATTTCAGAATATTTCAGAATATTTAAGGTTGGAAGGGACCTCTACAGATCATCTAGTCCAACCTTCCTGCTCAAGCAGGCACACCCAGAGCATGTGCCACAGGGTGGCATCCAGGCGGGTTTTGAAGACCTCCAGAGTAGGAGACTCTACAACCTCCCTGGGCAGCCTGTTCCACTGCTCTGTTACCCTAACAGTAAAGAAGTTGCTCCTCACCTGGAGACGGAACTTCTTATAAAGTAAGTAGTAACTGCGCCCAGTGCTCCAGGTTTGGCCTCCCTAGAGCTGAGTAGAGCGGCAGGATCCCCTCCCTTGACCTGCTGGCAACATCCTCCTGATGCAGCCAGGATCCCATTGGCCTTCTTGGCCATGAGGCCACACTGCTGACTCATGGGTAACTTGGTGTCCACCAGGACTCCCAGGTCCCTCTCTGTGGAGSTGCTTTCCAGCAGGTCGACCCCTAATCTGTACTGATGCCTGGGGTTATTCCTGCCCAGGTGCAGGACCCTGCACTTGTCCCTGTTGAACCTCTTGASGTTCCTCTCTGCCCAACTCTCCAGCCTGTCCAGGTCCCTCTGGATGGCAGCACAGTCCTCTGGAGTGTCAGCCACTCCACCCAGCTTGGTATCATCCGCAAATGTTTGTCTAATATTTGCTTAATGCCTCCAATGACAGGAATTTCTGGCCTCTCTAGACAATCTATTGCAGCACTTCACTTAGCTTTACAGTTAAAAGTTTTTCTTGGTCTCTAACTAACTAAAGTTTCCTTCTTCATAGTCTTCTTGTCCTATCCAAAATAAACACGGTTAATAATTTTTGTCCTCACTACAGATTCATTTTATATATTTGAAAATTTGTTTCTATCTTCACTGTTCTCCAGAYTCAAGCAGTTCCTTCAGTCTTCTCCTCCAACTTAGGCTTTCTAGATGATCTCCAGGTGTCCCTTCARACCTAAATTATTATGTGATTCTGTGAAGACTGTATTCCACTGAGAAAAAAAAATCAAGGTGACTAAAGTTAATCACTATGAAGTGCCAAAATACACTGCCAAGGCCRATTAATATGGCCATATTTAATAATTTAATATGGCCAAATGACTAATATATATAACTTAGCTGGAATTCCAGTACTGCAGCACACATTTTGAAATGAGGCAAGTTCTACTCTCCAGGACATCCTGGAATTCTTACCATAGTGCAGGAAAGTTCTTCAGTGTGCAGAAAATGCCAGTCTCCCAGCACAGGTTGCGTAGCAGAACGGCCCCCATATATAAACAGGTACTTTTCACCTATAGAAAAATACCACTAGGTGAACAGAAAAGTTTGGATTTTACATGTCACAAAACCAAAACCTTTTCTCTGCATTTAAGGGAARCTGTCCAGAAATACAAATCAATGAATTCAGACAGAAGTTTTATACACTGTCTGTATTAAGAAATCTTACTACCTGATGAGTATTTGTTTCATAGATTATAATCACTACCCTTCTAGGTGGATCATTTATAACATACAGAAGACTAAAAGACAGTTTTATTCACAAGCTGTATTTTTCACCTTTGTGATTATTCAGAGGACCCCCAAGGTCAACTAGCATTATTATGTATGGATTGAATGCTTTATGTTAACTCTCGCGTTACAGACACAAAATTATGAGGAAAAAGGTGTTTTTTTTAACATACCTAATAGGGAGAAAAAAAAAAAAAAGTGGGTCTGGAAGGCGGAACTCTAAACTACATTATGTTGTTAATTAAWCATTGCTCAACAGATTCAGATTATGTTCCAGACTAGACTACCAAATGCTGAGTAATTCCACTGGTGCTCCCCCTCAATTAATCGCCGACAGCTCAGAGAAAAGATATTAGCTCCAAGAAAGGACATCTTTCACATCCTGAATTCCACTCGCAGTAACACCATGACTGGCTAACAAATGCAGCAGTTTTCACCCCTTATGGCCATTATATTTTACTGCATTCCAATGCTTGATTCTAGATGTACAACTACTGAGTATCTATAAAATGATACTAGAAGCATAGCATTTCTTCTGAGCAGTTTTCTCAGGGGTGAAGAGCTAAGGACCCCTCTATATATCCTTCACAGAGGAAATACTGAGACTTTTCTGATATAATCAACCACATATCAATTTAACCATAAATGATTTCAAGGAATCAGTCTTCTCGATTAAATTGCTATGTTTCAAATAGTATTTACCATTGGGGATTAGCTAATCATTTTTTATTTTTGAGTCTCAAAAAAGAAACAAACAACAGATCTGAAAGACCTTTTTGGTTATCTTACTGATTCACTAAGAAAAATCTTTTTGTAACAGATCAGATCATCTAATCCTATGTTCTGTTTTTAATGGGGATCAGGAGTGGGTATTTAAGTGCTTCAGATCCTTCATGTTACAAACACCACATCTTTGAATTTGGCAGTTTTGAAGMGATTTCTTCTCCTGTGATTCTATTCAGTCTGTACTTCCAAACCAAGGAAGCTTTCAATACAAAGCATCTTGCAATAAAGAGTTTCACAGAACAATTGCCACTTYGTCTAAGAAGGATCCAGAACCTGCCTCCTAACATTTTTGCTTAATTCTCCTTCAATTCTTGCCTGGGGGAGATGCTGAACAACAAATACCTGAAGACCTTCTTCAGGCCACCCATGACTTAGTGGATTTCCATCATAGCCTGTCCTTCATCTGTTCCTCCCCCCATTTCTACCCCCAGTCAGAACAATCTAAGTCAACTTGAGCAATTTCTTGTATGAAGCTCCCCTGTTCTTGTCTCTGGATCTTGCATCTTTGCATCTTTTCTATTACTTTTTTTTTTCCTTTCTTTAAAAGGTGTGAGAATGAGGGACCAGAACTACATACAGCGTTTAACACATGGGCAAAACTTTTATATAGTACTACAACAGTATTCCCCATTCTTTCTYTTTGTTCCTTTACTAATAAAGATTGACACTAAATTCTTAACATCAGATTTGTTCTTCTTTTAAGCATCTAATAATTACAAAGTCTCACTCACTAGCAGAAATAGCTTAAAGCCATCACTGTATGAATGAAGTGAGAATCTCTTTGCTAGTGATATATTTACTTAGGAAAACAGTGGTATCACAGTGCTGAATGAATGAGTATTAAATTGCCCAGATGAAACTTAGTTCATCTGAAATGGTATATATAGGGGAAAAGAGATTCTCTCACTACTGGCTTGGCTTTCTAGATCATTAACAACAATGCTAAWTAGCACAAGCTTTGGAACAAGCATTTGGGAGATTATTGAGGAGCATGTTCCACTGAAAACTGCCTGTTTATTCTGAGCACAGTTCTATGATTTAGCCAATTGTTTTTCCATGCGAGGCCTTGTCCCTTCAACTTGTAGTTGCATAGCTTCAATAAGCCTTGATGAGGAACCTTATTGAACTTTTTGGAAAACCAGCAAAAATTGGACTAACTGGATCTCCCTTTAGTAACAGGCTAACTACTTCAGAAGAACTTCAAAAGTCTTCCTTCATCAATGCAAGATGGACAAAACCATCAAAGGGATAATAAATGAACACACTGCACATTGCCACCYGTTTTCTTTACTATAGTTTTGTCCAGTTCAGACCTCACATACTGACAGCTCTCTGCATCTCCCTCAGGATCTTTTACRAAAGAGAAAATTGGTATCGTATCAGGCACCTTGAGATGCTTTGTAGTTTCAGTTTTAAGCATATCACAGTTCGTGAACCAGCTATTTAATCTTTTAGTTTCCATTAGAGCTATTATTTGAATATCTTCAGACCTGGCGGGTTTTTTTTTCTCCACTTCCTTTAGTGCTATAAATGCTTCTACCAATATTTTGGAATACTTCAACAAAAGACAGGCTCCTGCACAGGCCGTTCCATGAACTTGTTTGAAAACAACAGTTTCACGTTTTCAACCACTTCTGGTTAATATTAAATCTCCATTTGTAAGCATCTACGTTTATGAGTGTGGAGTGATCCAAACTGCCCTGGCAAGTATACACTGCAGCATTTTCAAAAATACATTATCATCTTATGATTATTCAGCTGTGTCTTYTTTGATTCCTTTTCACCATCTAAAAAGCATAACAAGCTTGCAGCTCATGTGCAATGAAAATCATTATCACAGGCATCTGCACAGTTTTTGCAATGACTGCACCAAGTATTAATTACTAATAACTACAATTAGATAAYTGATTTGACCCTTCTCAATTGTTAGGTGAACTCAGTTGACTAAACTCAACTGGCATTCCTCAGTCTCTCCCTTCTGTCAGATCCCGTAGAATAGTGGATCCTGTCACAAGTACTTTTCAACTTTAACGAAAAATGCACAAGAGCTGGGTAAATATTTCAAGATTAAATGCATTCATATGAAGCTTCTGTTTGGATTCTTTAAGTGGGCAGGGAGGAACACACCACTGGAACAATGTCTTTAGAAAATGTAATAGATTCTTCTCATTATAGGGAATCCAAAAGAGGTTACATCTCTTCCCCAAATGTTCATCCAAAAGCTATTGCTTAAGATGAAGGAATACAGCATATCTACTTTAAATGTATAGCCTGCACTACATAAAAAGCAATACTAGAACATAAACATTTGCCTTTTAGAACTCAAAAGGTATGCAGAAAGTGGTCAATAAATTCCTGGATTTGTCATCCTTGTGTCCTAYACCCATCCACGTGCCCTACCCCCATTTCCACCCTTTCCAGGCTACCTCTGAACATGACTTCAGTTGCACTGTGTCTCCAACGCAAAGCAGCTGGTTCAGTCTGTGGGTTTACAAGTTCCACTGTAAAGGAGTCTAGGGCATTACTGCTGTCTGGGAACTTTAGCCACAGCATTCCCAAGGCTGCGTTTGATGGGGATGTCCGTCCTCCTACCATCAGGGCCAGGCTGTTCGAGAGACACGACACAGTATGGTACAACCGCTCATCTGTGGATATATAAGACACCATGATTTAGACTAGTATTTTTCCCAAGAAATTCAGAGCTTTCAGATTTCTGACTGCCAGTGCAATTGCAGTGACATCACTTTCTACCAGACTATTTAATTACAAGCACAGAAATATCTTGCTATTGGTATAAGAACCGTGTTAGGGCTGTGATAACGGAGACRAGTCTAGTTGGAGGCCTGTGGCCAGTGGTGYTGCCCAGGGATCAGTGCTGGGCCTGGTGCTTTTCAATCTGTTCATCGGTGACTTAGACGAGGGCACAGAGGGCACCCTGAGCAAGTCTGTAAACAATACCAAACTGGATGGAGTGGCCGACACTCCAGAGGGCTGTGCTGCCATTCAGAAGGACCAAGACGGGCTGGAGAGTGGGCAGAGAAGAACCTCATGAGGTTCAAGAAGGATAATACAGGGTTTTGCACCTAGGGAAGAATAATCCCGGGCATGACTTGGGGGCATAGAGGTTGACCTGCTGGAAAGCAGCACCACGGAGAGGGATTGGGAAGGCTGACAATAAGTGAACCACGAGTGAGCAATATTCCCTGGCGGCCAAGAAGGCCCCTGGGATTATGTACTGCATCAGGAGGAGTGTTGCCAGCAGGCCAAGAGAGGGGATCCTCTCCCTCTGCTCAGCTCTGGTGAGGCTGCACTTGGAGTACTGGGTGCAGTTCAGGGTGATGGAACTGTCTTATGAGGGACTAARCGAGCTGGGCCTGTTTAGCCTAGAGAAGAATGAGAGGAGATCTGATCAATATGTCTAAGTACCTGAGGGGGGAATGGAGGGAGGATGGGGCCACACTCTTCGTGGCAGTGGCCAGTGACAGGACAAGGGGTAATGGGTACAAACTGAAACATAGGAAGTTGCATCTGCAGGTGAGGAAGCAATTCTTTATTGTGAGGGTGACAGAGCAGTGCAACAGGCTGTGCAGAGAGGCTGTGGAGTCTCCTTCCCTGGAGATCCTCCAAACCACCCGGATGTGACCCTGTGCCACATGCTCTAAGTGTTGCTGCTGGAGGAAAAGTGTCTGACTAGATGATCTCTAGAGGTCCTTTCCAGCCTTACTTATTCTGTGATTCTGTAACTCACCCCATCTTTTACCAGAATTTTCCTTTTTCACACAGCCAGCTTTCCAGCAGCCTTCATGCTTAATTAGGACATGGAAATTTCTCATACGACGATGCTGTCCATCCTCCTCCCCAAAGCCTCCAGTTGTGAGAATGACATTGGGTTTTATAAGAGCAGAGTGGTGACCGTAACGTCTCAGACCAGCAGCTTCAGAGTGCATTCCACATGCTACTGCAGTGATACTTCCAGCCACACTGACAGGACCATCACCACAAGCAACTGTAAGAAAAAAAGAACCAGAGAATCTTAAGCGTCACATAAGCAGGAATATGGTATTACATATAAATGTAATAGGAGTATAAAATAAATATAAAAGAAATCAGTATAGCTTTCCAAAATAAAATTTTAAGCAAGTTTATATAGCATATCAGCTATAGACATATAGACAGTCAGACGCGCCCTAAGAATCACGTTGAAATGGTTTACACGAGTATTACTGTCAACTTCTACTTACTGCTCCCTCAATTCCTGATGCAAATATGAGCCTGTTTTAATGGGGGTGGGGAAGGAAGGGGCAAACAGGGAAACAAGGAGTTGCTAAGAGATTGTTGTTTCCTAAGTAGATTTAGCAAAATAGTTGACACATCATCTCTTGTACAATTACCTTTCTGGAGATTAGAATATTTGACTACTTAAATAGCAAACAACAGCAAGAGAAAAAATAAGTGAGGAAGCAGAGGGAGGGAGGAAAGGGACCAACAGCTGAATTCCAAGTTTCTCACTGGAATTTGATCCCACTTTCTTATTTCAAAAGCACTGAAATAAAGTTCTGAAGTGTAAAAAAATATGTAAATGTCTGACAGTCCTATTATAAGTGAATATCTTTAGTAAAATCAGTATCTTCTAAAAGCTATGCTTCTCAAAGCCCTTRCTATGAACCAACCTTTCACCACAAAAGTCTAGTTTAGCAACATTGTACAAGCCATTTTCTTCTGATTTTGATTTTGTATCTTTGTTTGACCAAATGCCTCCTAAATTTTCTTTGGAGACACTGGGATGGAGAAGCAGCTCTCAAGTCCATCTTCTATATGACATAGCTGAAAATATTGCCTATAACAAAGGTTGTTCAGTGCACGATTCTACTTTGCATAACAATGTCATCAACTTGAACTGTATGGGCTCGAATGCCTTCCTACTGGTGCAGCCTCTTAAGATAGGAGGTTCCCCTCTTCCAGTTCAGGAAATMCACTTACTCAGAGAGCAGAGCCCTGCATAGAGATAAGCAGAGTTAAGTTGAAAAGAGAGTCTGGGGCACCCCAACAAAAGGAGGAGCAGAGTAGTCTGGCATTACAACCACACACTGGAGCGCTCTATGTATAAGCAGAAAAGTTATTCTGGTTGGAAGGTTCAAAAAATGAAACAATTAAACTGATCTGAACCACCACAGTCAGGACACAGCTACAATCGCATATGGATTGTAGGACAATCATTAGAAAGATGGATGAACCTACTCATATGRTACTACCTCGTGTGTTCCTTCCTGAGGTTTACCGCCTCCTAAAAATCTCTCCAAGAAAGCTGCATATAAAGAAGTGAATACTATGATAGCTAGTCAGTATTTACCTGTCATGTTCAAAGGAGTCCAGGAAGGCTTCATCCCCTTTGCTGCAGTCAAGACAAAATAATGAGAACATTTCAGGTGCCATTCCTGTAGCAAGCCAAAAGAAAAAAATCAGAAACTTGGAACAAGTGGTGGAAAGAACAAAAGAATAATCACAGTTATCAAATCAAAGATCAACCTAGCCTAGCACTGTTTCCAACAATGGCAGAGCTCAGAGGGTGGCTATAGATGGGGCCRAGTCTAGTTGGAGCCCTGTGGTCAGTGGTGTCCCCCAGGGTCAGTACTGGGCCCAGTGCTGTTCAACCTGTTCACCAATACCCTGGCGAGGGCACAGAGTGCACCCTGAGCAAGTTTGCAGACGATACCAAGCTGAGGGGAGTGGCCAACACTTGGSAAGACTGTGTTACCATYCAGAGGGACCTGGACAGGCTGGAGAGTTGGGCACAGAGGAACGTCAAGAGGTTCAACAGGGACAAGGGCAGGGTCCTGCACCTGGGCAGGAATAACCCCAGGCACCAGTACAGATTAGGGGTTGACCTGCTGGAGAACAGCTCCACAGAGAGGGACCTGGGAGTCCTGGTTGACACCAAGTTAACCATGAGTCAGCAGTGTGCCCTCGTGGCCAAGAAGGCCAATGGGATCCTGGCTGCATCAGGAGGAGTGTTGCCAGCAGGTCAAGGGAGGGGATCCTGCCCCTCTGCTCAGCTCTGGGGAGGCCAAACCTGGAATACTGTGTGCARTTCTGGGCTCCCCAGTATAAGAGGGATGTGGAGCTTCTAGAGAGGGTCCAACGGAGAGCTATAAAGATGATGAAGGGAATGGAGCATCTTTAGTACAAAGAGAGACTGAGTGAGCTGGTCCTGTTTTCTCTGGAGAAGAGAAGGCTGAGAGGGAATATGATTAATATGTACACGAAGCAGGGACATGTACAYGACAAGGGRGAATGCAGGAAGGAAGGGGCCAAGCTATTCTCAGTGGTGGCCAGTGATAGGACAAGGGGCAAAGGGTATAAGTTGAAACCCAGGAAGTTCCTTCTCCACATTAGGAAGAACTTTCCTGTGAGGGTGCCAGAGCCCTGGMACAGGCTGCCCAGGGAGGCTGTGGAGTCTCCTTCTCTGGAGATCTTCCCAACCCACCTGGCTGCGCCTGGGTGCCCTGTCCTATGGGTGTCCCTGCTGGAGCAAGGGGCTTGACTGGATGATCTCTAGAGGCCCCTTCCAACCTTAACCATTCTGTGAATAGCCAAAATCAGAAGCCCTAAGAAGAATCTGAGAACGTTACAAGTATACAATAATAATACTTCCACATCTCAGCCTTCAAATATTAAAACTGCAAGGATTTTTTAAGCAAAAATATTGTGTTTTCCCATGCCTTTTACATTAACTTTCATGCCATCTAGTAATAAAACAAACAAAAACAACAAAAAATTAAAAGCTTCTTGCTAATGCTGAACAACACTTGATTGGGTTTTGATAATGGATTTTCTGATAATGGATTTTCTTCCATTAATCTGTCCCATASCCTCTTGAACTAACATAAAGCTTGTCGTTCAAAAAGCGATGTCCAAAATTAATGTAAATACTAAAAATGGAAGAATCCATGAAGTCTCTCACAAAATTATTCTAAAACTTAGTCACCCTCATCAGAAAAAAAAAARRWTAAAAAAAATSATTTGTATTTCTAATCTAATTCTGCCAAGTTTGTTTCCATTAAGACCTTGATCTTATTCTATCTGTCTGGAAGTTCAATTGCAGAGCTCTCTAGCTCTTTGCTATCATATGTCTCATTCTTATATACATTTGTGAATTTGGGTTTGTGGTCTTTTTAGTCTCCTCTGTAAGTAAAAGTTGTTTCTTTCTCACTGTCTGGGCAATTGCCCTGATCTACAATAACTCTTGTGGATGCTTCTACATCCTTTTGCAAATCTGTCAATGTGTTTCAGTCAACATTTTCGGTGTTCATATGGAGAGCTGATTCTTTCTGGTAGCAAAATAAATATAGCACATTGTTTTTAATACTATAGACTGTTACATTTCTAGACTAAGAATCACAAGAGCCAAAGGGAAACTTATAAAAGGGATCGTATAGAATCTTCATAATCTTATATTTTCTTCTAGACTGTCGACAGTTGTAAATTTTGCCAATAAATAACACAAAAACAGCAAGAAGTTGTAACTAAATGTCATTAATATAAGAAAGCCTAAACTGAGTCAGATAGAACATATCTGAAACCAGGAACCTGGCTCCAATAATGGCAAAGCCAAATGCCTATGGAAAATCTAGAGAGCAAGCCAGGGCATATACTTCTTTCAGGTACGTTTCCAAGCATTTGCAGGTCAAAAATTTTGACCTAGGTGTCACTTTCTCATGTACAATAATCCTCAATGAATTTCTTTTTCATTAAGAAAATTGTCTCTTGAAACCATGCAAACTTTCAGCCCCTGCAGCATCCTTTAGTTTGCTATGCTAAGGCTTGTCTCCCTGAGAAAACACTCCCTGAGGAAGGAAAAAAAAGTACTGCTAACATAGATGAGAAGCTTCTTTCATTGCTACTTGCCCCAGCTTTATACTACCATCAAGAATCCTTTCTGCCAAAAATTTCACTTACAACTCCAGCAGCTCTTCTAAAGAGTTATAAGAAGTTGCAGGCTTTTCATGCTATCGGAGTCAGCTTACCAGCAGAATAAAGGAGAGTTACCTCATACTCATCGAAAGGCTCTAGAGCCTGCACTCTTCGTTGCTCATCTTCAGGAACACAGAAGGCAAAAAACTCGTTCATGTCCATGACGCTGCACTCACTCCAGCCCTAAAACAAAAGTMTCCCCATATTATTACTTCTGGAAGGATAGAGACTCACTTTCCACAAGAAAACAGTGATCATAAATGAAGCATCTGCATGAGCCTTTAAGGAGGAAAAGCTGAAAAACGGCAGTCTAGACTCTGGGGTGAAGACAGACCTCAACTTGTGAAGCTCTGAAGAACTTAGATCCACACTTATTTTAAAAGCCCCAGAGAAATCCACCTCACCTCAACCCACACCAGAAAGTAGGTTTAAGTTGATAGAGGGACCTTCAAGTGACTGGTCACACTATAGAGAAGACAGTAACTCAGTCCTGGCACTGTTTGCTTAAACCTGTGAGTGGCCAAGCTTAAGACCTCCCAGTATCTAAAGTTTCATTCTTTCCCTGGTGATTCAGGTTTCACATGTGCCCTGGAGCTGCAGCACTTACATGTTGAAGGAAGCGCCTCCGCTGCGTCTCATGGTCAGGGTACTGTGCTAAAGAGTGAAGGGGAGAATTCAGCTGGTTAAAATGCYGCTGCATAACACGTCCAAATGGGTCCTCGGGATGCATCTGCTCATACAGCACAAAACAGGCCTGAGAAAAACAATCTGCTGCCCACTGTACCAAGGCATCTGACCTGTGCATAAGAAAGAAAATAATTCTTAACGACTTAATAAATGACTTGGACGAGGGCACAGAGTGCACCCTAAGCAAGTTTGCGGACGATACCAAGCTGAGGGGAGTGGCCGACACTCCAGAGGGCTGGTGTGCCGTTCAAAGGGACTTGGACAGGCTGGAGAGTTGGGCAGAGAGGAACCTCATGAGGTTCAACAGGGACAAGGGCAGGGTCCTGCACCTGGGCAGGAATAACCCCAGGCACCAGTACAGATTAGGGGTTGACCTGCTGGAAAGCAGCTCCACGGAGAGGGACCTGGGAGTCCTGGTGGACACTAAGTTAACCATGAGTGAGCAGTGTGGCCTCATGGCCAAGAAGGCCAATGGGATCCTGGCCTGCATCAGGAGGATGTTGGCAGCAGGTCAAGGGAGGGGATCCTGCCCCTCTGCTCAGCTCTGGGGAGGCCAAACCTGGAGCATTGGGGGTAGTTCTGGGCTCCCCAGGGTAAGAGGGATGCGGAGCTTCTAGAGAGGGTCCAGCAGAGAGCTACAAATATGATTAAGGGAATGGAGCATCTATCATACAAGGAGACACTGAGTGAGTTGGGCCTGTTTTCCCTGAAGAGAAGGTTGAGAAGGGATCTTCTCAACATGTACAAATATCTGAGGGGAGAATGTAGCGAGGAAAAGGCCAAGCTCTTCTCAGTGGTGGCTAGTGATAGGACAAGGGGCAAAGGGTATAAGTTGAAATACAGGAAGTTCCTTCTCCATATGAGGAAGAACTTCTTTCCTGTGTGAGTGACAGAGCCCTGGAACAGGCTGCCCAGGGAGGTTGTGGAATCTCCTTCTCTTCCAAACCTGCCTGGATGCCACCTTTTGCCACATGCTCTAGGTGTCCCTGCTGGAGCAGAGGCAGTGGACTAGGTTATATCTAGAGGTCCCTTCCAACCCTAACCATTCTGTGATTCTGTAATTGCAGGCCCAGCTATCATATGGAGATACAACGTACCATCCTGCAACCGTAGAAGACAYGCTATTAAGGCATCCTGACAGAAATGTATGTGAAACCCTACAGTGCTGCAGATGTATGAACCTCTGCCACAACCACTGAGAGAATTCAAGAATGAAGAGAGACTTAACACCCTATCATCCGATTTTGAGACTTTTTTTCCCCAATAATACCCCATCATAATTATGCTGTAAGGAGCTGCAGCTTGGGCTTCCACAGTATTCATGAGGCTTTAGCTATGAAACATTAGGTCTCACAGCCCTGTGGGACTTCCATACAGTGAAGCTTGTTCCCACTTTACTATCTGGATAACAGAGGACAATCCAACTGACCTGCTATTTTCCATGTAGGTGAGCACCACCTCTGCCAAGAAAAGAGTGGGGACTTCCTTGTCCAGTCCTGCTTCCTGCAGGGCTATCTCCAATTTAGATAGCTCCGTTAAGTCCACTCCTAGTAACTTATAATCCTTTCCAGAAAGGGCAATGGCTCCTGGGGGAAGAAAAAGGTACAATCTTAACACAGTGCTGATGCTACCTGAAAGCAAAATGGATAAACAACAGAATGAGCCCTACAAACAATTGCTCATACGGCTTTGCCCATCCTTTCCCCAACTAGATTTTTAGAGGAGACAAGAAAAAAAAAATCTCCAAATGAATTACAGAGGAACAGCACCAAGAAGGATCAGTTAGAGGCCCATTAAATTTAGAACTCAAATTCCAATAATCCTAAGGAAAAATTCACCTACAGATTTTTCTTAGAATTATTTACTGTAACAACACTTTATTCCTTTTAACAGCAATTTTATAGCACCGCTGTAACTCAGAATCAAATCTTAGGAGTTATCACTTCCAGTACTTGCAGCACAGACAAAGGAAAACACCATTATTTTGAGAGAATGTGARTGATTTCTATCACAACCACAAAGACACTCTCAAGTCTTAAATAAGTCTCCTTAATTTCCTTTAAAAACACATTTCTTTCCCGTACGTGGCATTGAAATTCAAACCCACGTATCCTAACTTTCTGCAAACACCAGTGTTAGTCGCACAAGTCACATTCTCAGAAATTAGCTCCTACTTATGCCATGACAGCATTGGCAAATCATACTTCTGTACTCCACAAGAATCATTTTTTGCTAGATGATGCATTTTAACCAAAAACAAAACAAACAAGGCTGGACAATATCTTTAGAAATCTGTGCCCGCTCTGCGCCTCCACACCAATGTGATTCTATCAACCCCAATGGCTTATGCTACACTGTCTTCAAAAAGCATCTGTTATCTGAAGCTAAACAACCTTCTTCAGGTCTCCGTTGCACTGTGGAGCCCAGAACTGCATACGATACTCCACATGGGCCTCGCCAGAACTGAGCAGAGGGGTAGGATCTCCCTCCTCAACCTGCTGACAACACTTGTGATGCAGGCCAGGAGTCCATTGGCCTTCTTGGCCGCAGGGACACTGCTGCCTCCTGGCTAGCTTGTTGCCAGCTAGAACTCCCAAATCCCTATTCGTGGAGCTGCTCTCCAGCAGGTCAGCTCCTAATCTGTCCTCATTCCTGGGGTTATTCCTTCCCCAGTGCAGGACCCTGCACTCGTCCTTCTTGAACCTCATGAGCTTCTTCTCTGACCAACTCTCCAGCCTGTCCAGGTGCCTCTCAATGGTAACACAGTCCTCCAGAGTRTCGGCCACTCTACCCAGTTTGGTATCATCCACAAACTTGCTCAAGGTGCACTYGTTGCCCTCATCCAAGTCACTGATGAACAAGGTGAACAGGACTGAGCCCTTTACTGACCCTAGCCTCCAACTAGACTCCACCCCATTTATAACCACCCTCGGAGCTCTGCCATCCAGCCAGTTCTCAATCCACCCCAATGTCCACTCATCTAATCCATGCTTTCTGAGCTTCCTCATAAGGATCTTGTGGGTGATGGTGTCAGAAGTCTTGCTGAAGTCAAGGTAGACAACATCCACATATAAGAAAGCCAAATACCACAGCAACGAAAGCTTTGCTAGGATCAAGTTACCCAGAGTCACAGCTTCTCCCCTATCCGTAAGGTCTACAACTTAAGTTGTTTGAGATCGCTGAAGGTCACCTAGCTGCTGTGAGACCTTGCTGACAGCAGGCATGTCTGCATCCAGGTGCTCAAGACTCTGCTCAGTCAAGCTCTAATACTTCCCAGGCTGGATGTTCCACTGTCACTTTGGGTAACCTATTCATGTTTTTAAACTATCTACGTGGTGGGGGGAAAAAATGGGGGCGAGGGGGAACTTCTGCCCACTTAGTTGGAATTTTTTTGTTGCAACTTGCAACCATTGCCCCTCGTCCATCTGCGACATGCCTCCAAGAAGAGCATGATTCCATCTTCTCTACACTCTCCAACTAAGGAGTCAAGGATTGCTGAAAGAGACCCTTCAATCTTCTTCTGAAAAATACAGATAGGTTTCACCCTTCCCTTGCAAATCAYGTGTTCCAGCTCTTTCATCATTCTTGTGATGTTTCACTGGATATGTTCAGTCTGTCTTTGTCTCTCTTGTACTAGGGATCCCAAAATGGGACACAGCATTTCAAGAACGGTTACCGAAAGAAATTAAGTTTGGCTTGACAGTTTAATCCTAACAAATCCATGATGACAGCTACATATTCTCTTGTTTTCTAACAAATTCTTGAAAAGAGTTTGTTTCATTTTTTTTTCAGAAATTCAAAAGTTGTCTTGTAAACAAATCTAGTTCCTCTGCTCTTCATGCCCCACTTCTTAAAAGCCAAAGCCCCCTGCGATTCTTACGTAAGATACCTTCCACAAACAACATACCGAGCCCTTCTCCTCCAGCATCTCCCACCAGCGACGACAGCTCTTTTATTCCTTTGATCAGAGCAGCTTTTTGGCATGCCACGTTTGGAAAATCCACCTCACAGACCACAGTGTGACTCAGAAGACCCATGTCCTTCAAGCGGAAGTATAAAGAGTCAAATCCAGCACCTAAAGACAGGATCTGCAGAAAAAGTACCAGAAAAGAAAAACATGTTCAACTCTAGCAGCCTCCTAAGCACCCATGAAAAACATTCAAGTTAAAGGCCATCATCTTTAGATTGCCAGAAAGACGCAGCTGCCTGGRAAAGATTATGGAGGATTTTTTCTACATATTGCCTCCTTCCTGATTCTTCTGCCCCAAGTGACAAATGGGCAGGAAGCAGCAATAGTCACAGATTCTCTGTACTCTTCTAGAAAAGGATCCTGTTAGACTCATTAATGAATATGCTAACACAGAGCCAACATGTCAGGAAGATTTTCCACACGTATAGTGGAAAGAGCCTGCGCGCCCGAGCAAGGAAAACGTACCTGTGTCCTAGCATAGCTTTGGGTCTTCAGCAGGAAGTCTCGAACACAGTGGTCCACAGCCTGGGCCCGCACATAATAACCCCTGTGGAATCAAAGTCAGCTGCAATCACTTTCCAGGAAGCCTATTTCTCTGGCACATGCATTCTCCTCCATGCCTTTTACTTAAAGGAAAACAAAATCAACTTTTTTTTTTTYCCCCTTGTATGCCTACCTAAGAATCCCACATTTACAGAACCCAAGTGGGAGATGCCTGATCATTCTGTTGTAGCTAAAGCACATTAATAAATATACATATCCTGCATTTAATAATTAGCTATCAAACAACAGATGTCCTGGTCAAACCACTTGTAAACATGGTACCTAGGCCTGCCCCTCTCTGCACGGGTGAACGTGCACTGGAAGCAGTGGCAGAGACGTCGCAAGCTTTGGGGACTAGAGGCTCCACCAGCTACCCTGAAATGGGGACTAGAGGCTACACCAGCTACCCCGAAAGATGCTCAAGGGCTCGGGACTGCCGTGCTGACAACCACAATGCGCACCTCGGGCGGGGAGTTTGACTTGAGGTGCCGGACAAGGAACTGAAACCCTGCCCAGCTCGGAGCGCGCCGCAGGCCGGGCCGCAGCCGCCGGCCCCAGCGAGGGGAGGCCCCGGCCCCGGCCCCGGCCGCCCTCACCGGTGGACGAGGGGCGCTCGCCGCCGCCGCCGCCCCGCCAGCAGCGCCAGGAAGCGGTCCCGCACGTAGCCTCGCGCCGCCGCCGAGCTCTTGCTGAGGGCGCTGCTGTCGCCGGTGCCCTGCACCTGCCGGGACAAGGGTCCGCGCTGGCGCCCGCCGAGCCAAGGGGTGGCTCGCAGCGGAGGAGGGCGGGTTGCGGGGCCTCACTTACCGCCGCGCTCCGCGGAGCGCCCGGCCGCCCGCCACCCATCCCGCGTGCTGCTCCCCGGCTGCGGGCGGGCTGGCGGGCGCACCGCCCCTTCCGCGGAGTCGTGCCTAATGGGAGCGAGGAGCACGCCGCCACAGCGACTCCCCGGGCGGGACGGAGAGGCGGCCCCGGCCCGCCCCTCGCCCCGCCCCGGCCGCCTCAGCGCCCTCGGCGCCCGAGAGCAGATAGGGAGGTGCCCCGCTGGCGCGGGAGACACGGCGCGCGCAGCCGTGACAGCAGGCAAAGGCGGGGCGCGGAGCTCCGCGGGCGGGGCGCGGAGCTCCGTGGGCGGGGCGCGGAGCTCCATGGGCGGGGCGCGGAGCTCCGCGGGCGGGGCGCGGAGCTCCGTGGGCGGGGCGCGGAGCTCCATGGGCGGGGCGCGGAGCTCCGTGGGCGGGGCGCGGAGCTCCATGGGCGGGGCGCGGAGCTCCGTGGCGGGACAGACGGAGAGGCGCCCAGGCAGGGAGGGCAGCTCCGTGGGCGGGGCGCGGAGCTCCGTGGGCGGGGCGCGGAGCTCCGTGGGCGGGGCGCGGAGCTCCGTGGGCGGGGCGCGGAGCTCCGTGGGCGGGGCGCGGAGCTCCGTGGCGGAACAGGGGGGGAGCCGCCCAGGCAGGGAGGGCAGCTCCGTGGGCGGGGCGCGGAGCTCCGTGGGCGGGGCKCGGAGCTCCGTGGGCGGGGCGCGGAGCTCCGTGGGCGGAGCGCGGAGCTCCGCGGGCGGGGCGCGGAGCTCCGTGGGCGGGGCGCGGAGCTCGAAGTCCTTGACGCCAATGCTGTCTCTGTGCTGGACCTCTTGATCCCTGCAACTGCAGCAGTGGAGGGCTGGACTTTGCCAGTCAACTGCTACTGGACCTGGGTACAGTACCATGTGCTGAGGTTTTGCACAGATCTTGCTCCAAGGATCTTGGGGAATGTCTTAGTACATTGGTATTTATTGTATGAAAATGAGATGTCTTATTGGACATTTAATTTAGCATCAGCACAGTGCAAAATAATGGAAGAGCTGATGTGGTGCCTAAACCCTTAAGAAATAGTAATAATTGGCATTGATTATACAATCGCTGTATATTTTTGAGCAAGATTGTGATATATCTCTTGTCCTACTAGTGGAGATATGTTGATATCCTAGGAGGTTTGCAGCACTGTTTCATCCCCATGTAGCACTCCTAAAATTTTCCTTGTTAATAAATCAGTACTTCATTAAATTTTGTTTTGCCTCCTGCGTTGAAGGATAAAGGATTGATCTTAAGCAGTGCTGTGATTAACTCTTTCTTAAGGACTGCTGACACTTTCTGTAAGATGCCTTGAAATCTCCTTGCAGGAGGGTGCTCATGTGCTTCACGTCTAGTGGTACCAACCTCTGCTCCGAGTTCCCGCGGCCTGTCGGGGAGCGCCGTTAYCTCCTGGCTACCGCAGAGCTCCTGCACTGAGCACTGCGCTCTCCCTTTCACGTAACGCATCCCAAACCCTTCTGACGCATTTACACTCATCGATTCTTTGGATGTTTTATGAATAAACATAGATTGTGGCAAAACACGGATTCCTTTTATTAGGCACATTTTTTAAAGCTTTGTTCTTTGCTGAGTGAAGCAATTCAAAATTCAGTTAAACTTGCACAAGTTAAACTTACCTGTTATTTTGGTTTGAAATGTTTCAACTATAGGCTTAAAAATGAATTATTCTTCACCTGAAATATCTCAGAAATATAACCACAAACTTTCTGAAAACTGATTCAAAAAACTATCTAAGCTTTTGGCTGGAAAAGTTTAAGATATATTAATCACTCTGTATGATTACAACTAAATCCTGTTGTAAAGTACTCTACTAGATAAGGCCTTACAGCAATCTTATCTTGTCTGTTTTTAAACATACTTGCATTTTCACAGTGATCTTTGAAAATTCTTCTTCTGCTATGTATGTGGGTGGGTAGACTTTCAGTGACTGAATGAAGTAGGGTATCTGACAGAAACCTATTGCACACCAATAAAAAAAACTAAAACATTTCAATACATAGGGCAGCTGCCTAAGAGCTATCCTTGATTGTGCAAGTCACTGAGAACTGCAGATTTGAGTCTTACGGATGCTTATCAGGAACACAGCTCAGTTCTTGGGCAAACCTACTAGAAAAATACTGTCCTCCAGACCCAGAATAGAGCCTTAAGTGGAACCTGAAAAAGACAGTGCCATTCCTCAAAAACCCAGGCCAGACAAAAGAGAAGTAGTTATACCATTTATAACAGTAAAGAAAAACACAAAATCACAACTTCTTAACCAGAACAGTTGCACAGCCTCTTGGTCAAGCCTCATTTCTCCTGCTGGTATCAAGTACAATTGAAAGACAGAGAGGCTATTTACCAACAGTGAGGCTAGATACTTCTGATAACCTAATGTGGTATTTTATGCTGTATTCCACTTTCCCCATACTGTCTAAAGATGTGATCACATCTCTATCTGCATTATCTTTATGAATAGCTCAAGCTCATTTATTGTCCAGTGCGAATTTTTTTACAAGGACGTATGAGCAAGCTAGGAAGCTTTAACTTCCATTGAGGGAAGTTTCAGAAGCCACCTTTTTTCAGGGGCCTTAGGTATGGGAATGTTGCTCTTCCAAACTGCTTTCGTCAGTAGACTTGAGCTTGGCAGAGCTTTCTTTGTGTTCCAAAGACAAAAACCCTGCCCTGTTCTCCTCACATGCAAAATTTAAACATGGCTGTATTTCATGGGGTCTTTGATGAGTTGAGAGCCTTCGCAAAGCCGGCTCGTAATTTCTCTATTTCAATTCTCCTTTTGAAAAAGAGGAGTAAGAACAAATGAGAAAAAAGGGGAATTTGGGACTTCAGAGAGAAATGAGAGATTTCTGTAAGGCATTGTCTTGGTAGTACCTGATGAGCTGGTTACACTTTGAGCTGTAATTCTGAAGTTTTGATTTAAACTCAGCTGCTTTATTTAATAGGAGAATTGTTATCCCACAGGATTGATTCTAGGAGAGTCCCATAAGACAGTTCCAGTTCACAATTACAGATTGGTGGCTGTATCCTAGAAAACAGGAATTAAAGGATTTATTGGTCATATTAGATGGCCAATAGTATGTAAGTTCTCAGTGCAGTGATATAGCCAAACAAAATTTTATTTTGAGAAGTATATTAAGAAAGGCAATGTCATACATAATGTCAGGGTTTTGGGGTCAGTATTTCAGACCCATTCTGGTTACAAATTAGAAGGAGCTTTTGTCTGAGACCTCTTCAGTATTATGAGAGACCTCACATAGTCTGCTTAGTTCTCAAGTGGTTGTAAAGTTATCTGACCTGGTTCTGCAAGAGTTCTTGCAGGAAAGGAAGTTCAGTCTGGATTTGGACTGTTTAAATTTTGTCAGGGTCTCAGGTATACCTTTGGTATTCCTCTGGCAGATGGCATTATTTCTTAGCAATCTCCTGAATTTCAGGGAGCACTAGTACTACACTGCCACATTTGGCAACAGACATGGTATTGCATCCCCTGAACTAGACCTCTGTATCCCAATTACTTTAAAAGCAGAGTCACATTCACCATTTTCTTCAGATTTCCTCAGATTTCTTCAGATTTCCTCAAATTGCATTCTCTCTTCTTCACCCTGCAGTTCTCCATGCTCCCAGCAACTCTTGTCCTAACGCAGACTTTCGCCTGTCTCCAGGGAGTCCCTGGTCCTATGAATTTGGCCTTGYTTACAGCATTTGAGTCAAGATATCCCTGTGGGGCCTCACACATAGATAGTAAGGAAGGAAATAATATAAATTATGCTTGTCGCTGCTTTCCTGTGGTGAGGTCTGTATTTGCTAGAAACTCCTGGCCTTTGTTCTGGGCTGGGAATGGGTTTCATAATGAGGAGGGAGGCACTTTCTATTTTGAGTGGAGAAAGCAGCATCAGGGAAGGTTTTAATTATCTGTTGTTGAGCAGCGCAGCCAGGCTGCTGAGTATGAGCAGCGACATCGCACTCCGATCCTTTCGAGCGAGAAGGGTGCAGTATGATCTCCTCGTGCAGGTAGCGGTCCTTGCTGGAGGGTGAGACCAGTTTGTTATAAGATCCTCAAAAAGGCTTCTTCTCAAAAAGAGAGCAGTCCCTCTGCAAGGCTTGGAGAAATAGAATAAAGCAATAAATAGAATAGAATAAAGCAATAAATCAAAGTGGGAGGAAAGCAAAACAGACTTTTCTCACATTTGTCCCATCTCTCAACCCTGCTGAAGCAGTGCTGTATTGTGGAGAACGGCACTCGGTTTGTCCTTCTAACTTGTGCTAAGGACTACTGCAGAGCGTGGGCAACAGCTATTAATAACCTGGTAGAGAGATCTGCAAACATGTGGAAAATGTACTTGTCTTCATCTTCGAGCTTTGCTTTGTCACCATCCTTCCATTTTCCTCCGGGTACTCCAGTGTCTGGGCGACCTGCTACAAATACCTTCTCAGCATTTTTCAAGGTCTTGATGGAGGGTCCTGGTTTATGTGCCACTCATCCTTTTTTGTTCACTTTACCTTGCTGATGCCCACTTGGAGTCCYGAGTCCAGTTCTGGGTTCCCAGGTACAAGAGAGACATGGACATACTGGAGCGAGTCCAGTGAAGGGCTACTGGGATGAGATGCTACTGGAGCATTTATATGAAGAGAGACTGAGAGAGCTGTGACTGTTCAGTCTAGAGGAGATAGAGAGGGATCTTATCAAGGTGTATACTGATGGGGATGGGAGAGTGCAAAGAAGACGGTCAGACTCTTCTCAGGGGTGCCCAGGGACAGGAAAAGGGCAATGGGCACAAACTGAATGACAGGAAACTTCATCCGAATCCTTGGAGATGTTAAGAAGCTGACTGTAGAGGGTCCTGGGCAAGCTCCCTTGACCTGCTTGAGGAGGTGGGTGGGATGACAGCCAGAACCCCTTTCAAAAATTCCTTCCTCAAACATTCTGTGATTCTGTGATATTTCTTTGTCTTTTACCCTTATATCTTAGTGGTTCTTGCAATCATGAGTTGCTAGAGTTCAGAATCCAAAGAGGAGGAAGCAGGGCTGTAAGTGGCCTTGTAACCATGGACCTCAGGAGGGCTGACTTTGGTCTCTTCAGGGACCTCCTTGGAAGAATCCCATGGACTAGGGCCCTAGAAGAAAGGGGGACTAAAGAGAGTTGGTTAGTTTTCAAGCCACACTTCCTCCATGCTCAGCAGTGGTGCCTCCCTATGAGTAAGAAGTCAGGCAGAGGGGGCAGGAGGCCTGCGTGGATGAACAGGGAGCTCCTGGCAAAACTCAAGCACAACAATGCAGTATACAGAATGTGGAAGAAAGGACAGGCCCCTTGGGAGAAATACAGGAACATYGTCAGGGAATGCAGGGATGCAACAAGGAAAGCTAAGGCATGCTTGGAAAAAATTTGGCAAGGGATGTTAAAAATAATATTCTGCTTCAAATATATCAATGGCAAAAGGAAGATTAGGGAGAATGTGAGTCTGCTGGTGAACGGGTTGGTGCCCTGGTTACGAAAAAAACACAGAAAAAGCAGAGTTGCTGAGTGCCACCCTTGCTTCAGTGTTTACTTAGGGCAGCCCTCTAGAATCCCCAGACCCTAGGGACAAGAGAAGAAGCCTGGAGAGAGAAAGATTTGCCCCAGGTAGAGGAAGATGGGGTCAGAGAGCACAGAGGGCAACCTGATACCGACAAATCCATGGGCCCGGATGGGATGCACCTCAGAGTGCTGCATGAGCTGGCAGACATTATAGCTAAGCCACTTGTAATCATCTTTGACAGGTCCTGCAGAATGGGGAAAGTGCCTGAGGACTGGAATAAAGCCAATATCCACCAGTCTTCAAAAAGGGCAAGAAGGAGGACCCAGGCAACTACAGGCCAGTCA